ATGTTTCAAAATAAGAAAAATATTATTTAGCATCTTCACATTGCTAAATAATATAATCACTTTAATAAGTTTTTGTCTTTCCTGTATGGCGGCATTCTGTTGTGATTTCTGCCAATGGGAAGGTACTTTGGGACCACATGTTTTGCCTACATTAGGAAAAAAATAGCAAAACCCTAAGAAATTTCTGCGGTTGAGAAGAAGGGAAGAAAGATAGAGCCATGCTTATTCACACTCCTTGTAGAGACAGAATGGGAATGGCAATGGGGGCAATGGAAAGACCACCAGCTCTGGTTGATCCTGGATGTGTCTTCATCCCTTCCATACTGAGACCACAGAGTAAAGCACAGATGAGAATGTATCCTATCACCTCAGGCATGTTGAGGCAAAAATGTAAAGCTCTGAGAAGCACTCCATCATGGCTGCCCCATCCTTAATGGTTTGAGTTCACCAGGCTACTGCATATGAGATCTTATTTCTTCTTGTATTATAGTTTGGAAATACTTTCTGTGAGTTATGTATGGCTGTATATCTAAAAGAACTTTCCCATAACCACAGTGGCTGGGTCAAAGAACTAGTCAAATTTGCATCTTTCCATAACAATTAACATTCATTAAAAACACAAAGCATAGCATTCTATTTCCATCTACCACATGTTCAACAATGCAGTTTTGAAAACACTGTAAAGCGACAATTAGCCTGTCATAGTAAAAAGAGCCCCTATCATTTACTAACCTTAGAGCTGGGCATTACAGTAAGAAAATACACCTTATGTGATTTAAACTTCCAACAACTTTAATGAGGAAGGTAGTACTAGGCTCTTTTTGCAGATGAGGAAACAGACTGAGAGAGATTATATAACTAGCCCAAGGTCCCTGGTTTATAAGAGGCAGAGCTGCTGGCTTTTATATCCAAATTTAACTCTATATATCACATATGTAGCATTAACTACAAAGAATTACAATTAATCAAATCCTGACTTTGTCTCCATGCTGGAGTAAATAAGTTCACTATTTTTTTCTTCATTTGTCTTGGATAAAACACTAGCTATGGCCAAAGTTTTCATCTCGGGGCCAGTTCTGATGGACTTTCTGAGCTCCCCTATAGAAGGACTGGAAAGCTACAGGAAAAAAGGCGTGTGCTCAGAGATGTCTGCAAAGGCCCACAAAAGCACAGACCCTCTTCCTCAGCCATCGCAGAGCCACAGCTGGTGGGTATTTACACCCCACCGCCTCCCCAACCTCACACTGTCCACCCCCGCCAAATGCCTTTTCTGCTGAGCAATTTAACTGCCATGGACTTTCTGTCTACTCTACTGTATGCTCATTATCTACACACTCCCTCCAACTTTTGAATTATGGCAAAAGTTGAGGTAGATATAAGTCACACTGTATGTCACACATGAAGGGTAGCCATTAGTATAAATCCCAAAATAGCCTTTTTACAAACAAATGGAAGTCACTGTATCCCTCTCACATTCCCTGTTGTCTATTAGTTCAATCCTCAGATTGCTTATTCTTACATGAAACTGGTCTCCAAACAGTTTCATCAATTCCATAAGCCAATCCTCAGCCTGCCTATTTGTGACTCGAAAGTTCCTATCTTTTGAGTCCTTCTCTACATTTTTAAACGAATACAAGCAAAGTCCTTTCTTATTATGATACTATATTCATGTTAAGTATAATATAAGGTTTCTGGGAAAACTACAAAAAAAGAGCAGCAAGGCAAAGTATCAGAATCTGATTTAGACTTTTGGTAGCAGATAAATCTCAACTAGGAAGGCAAGAACGAAAAACACAGTTTTGGAAGGTGTCTATATATCACGTATGTGACATTAACAAGACAGCAATAATTGCAACCTGCCAAAAGCAAAATGCCTAAAACTGGTAAGCTAGAAGGTTTCTCCAGTGAAATATAACACAAAGTTATTAATAACGAGCACACTTACAACACAAATCTCCTCTGCCTGTTGAGCTGTGCTAAGAAGCATCTATGCTGTAAAAGTTTTAACATCTACATAAACATACACTTGAACTTCACATATTTCTCTAAATGCAGCTGTTCACAAAAGTACTTTTAAGCTTATACATACACTTCTACCTAAGAGCTAGTTTAAATAAGGTTTGGTTTAATATATAATATAGAAATAATAAGAGCTAACATTTATATAGCATGTTTACATATAGCTAACATTTATATAACATTTATATAGAACAAATTATAAATGGGAAAATGGGCAGGCAGAACCCGGGGGAAGCCTGCCCTTATTAGACACAACAAGACGGCAAGGTTTCTCCTGGTCATTAGATGAAATGCCTCTGCTACAAGTAAAACTCATATAGCTCTAGTTATGTGAATGAAAGATGCTGATTTATCCAAAAAATTATGTACATAATTATAAAAGGGAAACATGCAGGGTGAGCTAGCTAAATCCTCATCTTCCACATAAAGAAGTAGACAGATACTTTCAAAAGCCAAGAACCTACAGTTACACAGGAAATACAGGCACTACTATCTAAAAATAGCTAAAAGGAGAAAGAGGCAGCTACTAGGGCATAAGAAAAGGGAATAGACTGCTATATTTTTCATTCTAAGTTTTAAAAAATTGTTTCTTATACCTTTGATAAATCTTAAAAGTTTAACAAAAAAACAAAAATTTTAAAAAAGATCTATCAAATGTATACGTTTCTTGGACAAGAAGAAGAAAAAAGGAAAAGTAACGGAGTCCCCACTGATTAAATGCAATCACCTTGGATATAAAAGACTTTTTTCAGTGGAGCTAAGTCTTAGGAGTCAAGTGTCCACAGATTGCTCTCAGCAAAAGGATGATGTTCCAAGCTCAAAAAGTCATCCTGGACAGCCTGACAATATTGATGACAGAGGCTGCAGAAAAGTCAACTGCCCCACTCCATTCCCCAGGCAGGCCAAATGACTCCATGAATGAGACTGAAGCAACATCAACAAAATACCCACCTCCCCAAACCCTCACCCTGACAAAAAAAGAAAAAAATCAGAAGACACAGCCATCACCATCTGTGATACAGTACAAGGCCTGAGGGGTGGCCTAAGCAGAATGAAATTAAGCACTATAGGAATTCAGAGAGAAGAAAACATTCATTCTCAGTAAGAAGATAAAGGAAAGCTCCACAAAAATGGAATTTAAGAGGGTCCTGGCGAGGATTAGGAAACAGCCTACCAAAGACCAGAGGTGACAAAACAGATGGTGTGTTTGGAAATGAACATGGTCGAAGCCATACTAAAGTGTATATCTTATGCTGCTGATGCTCCACTCAAAACTGGAGCAAGGGGTAAGAGCGGAAGGCCCCTGGGACAGTCAATGGTTTCCTGCACAGTGTGAAACTGTAGACATGATCAATCTGACTGCAGTGTATGTGCCTCTCAAATTAACTCATTTATAGGAATATACTCTCCATATTTAACTTGGCTTCTTTTTCTTGGAACAGGCTCTTAAATCCCAGAAACTGACATTTATCTGATTATACAGAGTGCCTGTCATGACCCCAGATCACCAAAAGTCCTTAGCTGCGTGCTAGTTGATTCTGTCAATACATTTTCCTTACGATTTCCCAAGAGTGTTAACCTCAAAATACAGGGACTTTAGTTTCAGGCAGTATCAGTTCTCCCTTTAGCTCACAAAATGCAGTATTTATTTTAGGGGTAAGTCTCCTTAAAATAAATATTCCCCTAAATATATACATATTCCCTATGTCATTTTAATGTAGTACATGCTCCTTCTAACACTACAATCATTGTTTTAAATCAATAAAACAGGACCAGGTTTGATCCGCACAACCCCAAATAGCAGTTCTGGTTAAAATATACACATTTTACTCAAGGTTTTCTGGACAAGTTCTAGGAGTTAGTAGATTACATATGAACAAACCTATTCCTTCACAGTAAACTGAGTATGTATAAAAGACAGTCTATTTTTACACATCATAAGCCTTCAAAAATAAAAAAGAACATATTAACTTTTACTTTTTTACTTTTACTCTGGCCTTTATCAATGTTTAGAAGTATCATTTACGAAACACAACTATAAGCAAAACTTGAAAGAAGGACAAAATTAAGGAAGCAACACATCTTTACTTTTATATTCCTTTAACTCAATGAATAAAAATATCAGGTGCCGAAAGATACAAAATGAAGACACTGCCCTGGCTCTTAACAGCTCACAATCTAATTGGCAGAAACAACTGGCAGATAATCAAAAATCAGTATTGATGCCGGAGGTTGCAATTTTGTGTGTGAAAAATCAGACCTTGGCAATAACCTTGAGCAGCAGGATATAAATAACTCCCAAAAGCTTAACATTCCAATAATGGAACACTAGGCATAAATAGGTTAAGCACTACTCCTGGGTGTACCTCACACAGTATTTAATATAGAAGGTTACTAATATATGATTAGTTGGTTGACTGGATAAAGAGATGCATAGAAGAACAAATGAATTGAGATACGACTAATACTTCTTGGTAACAGACAGGAAGGTGAGTTTATTCTCCATAGGGAGGGAGGGAATGGGTAGTTCAGGAAAAGCCTCCCATAGGAAAGGGTGAGCCAACTGCATCTGAAAGTAGTGTTTCCACAGGGATGATAAACACTGAGGATAAACAGAACTCAGACAAATTTATTATACAGCTATGTAATTATTTCAAGTTATGTTAAAAGAACCACAAAATCTGTTACTTGAAAGCTATTTTTACTTAGGATGAGGGTAAACATTTTTTTTTTTTTTGAGACGGAGTTTCACTCATGTTACCCAGGCTGGAGTGCAATGGTGCGGTCTCGGCTCACCACAACCTCCGCCTCCTGGGTTCAGGCAATTCTCCTGCCTCAGCCTCCCGAGTAGCTGGGACTACAGGCACGCACCACCATGCCCAGCTAATTTTTTGTACTTTTAGTAGAGACGGGGTTTCACCATGTTGACCAGGATGGTCTCGATCTCTTGACCTCATGATCCACCCACCTCAGCCTCCCGAAGTGCTAGGATTACAGGCTTGAGCCACCGCGCCCGGCCAACATTTAATTTTTAAGGTGATTCCATGTACATAAATATCAGATATACACAGATCAGGTGGCATGTGGATATAAAAAAGATCGAGAAGTACACAAATAGCTGAAATTTTTAAAAATGCAATTCAAATTCAGGGTAAGCCAGGTGAAAGGAGAGAAAAATTATTCCAGAGAGCTATTCTAGGCAGAGGAAAGATCTTAGGCCCAAGCAAGGGAGCAAGAGCCACAGATATTCACAGAACGTTCAAACAGGTGAGTGTTGCTGTGATATACAGATCAAGGCAAATAGTGGCTGAAGAAGAGGTTTCAAATTACAGAGAACTCAGTACCGAATTAAACACCATGAACTTATCTTGTAAGAGTTAGAGACCCACAAAAGGGACATAGCTCTGCTTGTATTTTGAGGGATTCTTCTCATGGGTGAGTGGAGGACAGACCCTGTGGGTGGGAGAGAGACTGAAGGCAGGGAACACCAACAAAAAATGACCTGAGGTTTGGTGGGAATAACAGTCAAGAAATACTTAAGAATTTAAAAAAAAAAAAATCACCAGGCTCTGGCGACTGACTGGCTGAGAATGGATGAGACAGAGTGTTTAATGGTTGACAGCCTGGGTGGTGGGTAGATAGTGTTATCACAAATTGAGAGAGAAGGACATATTGAGTAGGAAGAACCCAAGGAACATCTGGGTAGAAAGATGCAAGGAACAACAGTGTACAGAGGTGCAAGGTATTGAGAAAGGCCGGCAGAGATGTCACAAGTGCTAGCTAACAGGGCAGGACAAGGGCAGAGAAAGGCAAAAGCATGGGGCAGAGGATGGAATCCATAAAACATCAACATTTAAGGGCAAGCCCTTAATCATGGAGGAACAGTGTCAGAAAGGTACAAGAACCGTAGGCCAAAGTACCAAGGAAAGAATCACCATCAAAAGCTGCCTTAATGTCTCATATCCATTAAGATGGCTACTACTAGAAAAAGAACAAACACAACACACAAATGGAAAACAAGTGTTAGCAAAGATGTGGGGAAACTGGCACCCTTGTGCACCGTTGGTGGGAACCTAAAATGGTTCAGCCTCTATGGAAAACAGTACAGCAATTCCTTTAGAAAATTAACATAGGACTACCATATGATCCAGCAATTTTGCTTCTGGGCATATAACCAAAAGAACTGAAAGCAGGGTCTTAAAAAGATATTTGCACACCTGTTTTCATAGCAGCATTGTCCACAATAGCCAAAAGGTGGAGGCTACCCAAGGGACAATGGACAGGTGAACAAAATGTGTTATATACATACAACGGAACATTCATTCTTAAAAAGAAATGAATTCTGTCACATGCTACAACATGGATGAACCTGAAAGACATTATGCTAGGTAAATTAAGCCAGTCACAAAAGGACAAATGCTGTATGATCTCACTTCTATGAGATAGCTAGAATAGTCAATTTTGTAGAGAAGAATGGTAGGTACCAGGGACTAGAGGCAAGGGAAAATGGGGAATTATTATTTAATGAGTACAGAATTTTAGTTTTGCAAGATGAAAAGAGTTCTAGAGATGGATGGTGATGATGGCTGCACAATAATGTGAATGTAATTAACATCACTGAACACTTGAAAATAGTTAAGTTCGTCAATGTTATGTGGATTTCACCACAATCCCCAAAAACTACCTCTAAGACAAAAAATAATCTTTCAAAATGTCCACTTGGATTGAGCAATTCGCAGTGAGGAGGTCTTTGGCAGTTCTGGAGAAGTGCTGAGGACAGAGGGCAGAGTGGATGGACTAGATTACAGAGTGAATGGGAAAGTATAGACAGCAAATGCAGATCATTTCCAACAAGTTTGGATAAGAAGATAAAGGTATCACTTGGATGACTGCTAATAAAGAGGACTCACACTTAAGGGAGAGTCTGAGGGTTTTCCTATTATTTGACAATGACAATAGGCATGATTGATCATGAGCATGCCTCTCTAGGACAGCAGGAAAGAAACTGGTCAAATGGGTAATGTTGATGTTATAGGCCCTAAACTGGATGAATTCAAGTAGATGGAGTAAAGGAGACCCAGGCCTTTCCTCCTTAAAGATGTATTATGATTGTATTAATCCAGAGCATAATTTCAGAGAGCCACAGAAATAATTTGTTAAAGAAGGAAATATCTTGACATTGGAGCCAACCCAGGACAGAAACAGAATGTTATGAAACCAGATTTAAGTCAAGAGGGTAATGCGAAGAAAGATTAGAGACCCCAAAGCCCCAATTCAAGGCTGGAAATGTGTCAGGAAAACAGATGAAGTAGAGGAGGCACTGTCATGCATCAAGTCCATCCCTAGAACAGGATAAGTCTAGAGGAGCAAATCCCCCAAGTCCCAGAGGAGATAGTATAGTCCTTTCAATATCTCTTCACATTAGACAGTTATCTTGCTCTGCACCAATCAAGACCCTCAGGTTAACACCTACTTAAACAGCTTTCCCGCCTCCTTCCCTGGCACTGAAAGGAGAAAACGTGCAAATGTTCTACTGTCAAATATTTTTTGGTTTTGAACAACTTTCAAAAAGTTAGTTTGAAGCCATGTGAATTACAACTTAAAAATACTTCCCAATAAATACAGAAGCTATTATTACAACAGCTTCACAGGAAAAGGTCATAAACAAGCATGGGAAAGATGTAGCCTCCTGCTGGCTGGAGTTCTCACTTGCTGGGTCTCTTTCCACAGCTGGTTTCATACAATTTACTATTTAGTCAGGCCTTGGTAATCTATAACCCTAAGCAAATCCAAATCAGATCCAAGTTATACAAGCACATATTAGAACTGGGCTCCAAAGAACCCTGGACATCTGTAGTACCTGACATTCAAGCATTTGGCAAGATGTCAATATTTCAGAGAGCACTTTAAATGTTTTGATTTGAGAGCTAATGCAGTGCTTCCCACTGGTCAACACGAGCAGTCCAGGCAGAAAGCAAAATCTATTTCCTTCTACATCAAATGCTACACTCAGTTGCTGATCCTATCTTGCCAACAGAGAACCTAAGAGACTGGAAAAATTGGTAAGTAAGAAAATTCCATTTAATGCCAAATACAGTTAAATAATATTTGCAATTCTAATAGAAAATGGCTTTGTGTGGTGCTGATGTCCTAAATTCTTCTTTTTTTAATGGATGGAATCACAGAGTTATCGGCTAGGCAAGACTTTTCCAAATTCAAGTAATAAACCAAGTCTAGTTAACTTTTCCCGGTAAATATGCTTTTTTAATTTGATAAGGCATGATTTCCTTTCATGCGGCTCATGTATTAGGCATTAGGAAATTCCTATTTTAAAAAATTTGTAAAGTTACTTTAGGAGACAGTCAGATGGGTATGTGGGTAGTGAGAAAAGTTAGTATTTGATATGAGAAGGTAGACCAGTACAGCTGGGTTATGATGCATGTAATCCTCAGAGCAAAGGCAGTCTAATAAAGAACGAAGATACTGAAGAAAGAAAACAAAAACTAAATGGTTTGGTTTAAAAGCACAAAACGCTAAAACTCCACAAAAACTGAAACCAAAGGTGAAATACTTCATGCAAGGCAGCTGTGAAGTCTTCCCTGAAATATTAAATGCACAGGTCACTAGTATGGATTTAATGGTGAGTCACAATTTATTTTCAAAGGAAATAAACAGGAATTAAATAGGTTTCATAGTTGCTATTTTATTTTTTATTAGTGTCTTAGGTTTTAATTTTCCTTGCCTTAATTCTTCTGATTCCTCCCTCTCGGCATGAAACATTTAAATAACAAACATTCAGAGCATTTTTTGTTTTAATTTGTGGATGGCAAGGACAAGGAATACTAAATTGGCTGTTGTTTTTCTATAAATTATGTAGTAATTTCTAAAAATCTAGACTAATAATTCAGAAACTTAATACATTCTTAGAATCTGCTCCAGATTATTTCCCAGGATCCCCCCACCAAAAAAGAAAGAAAGTAAACAAAAGAAAATCTTTTTAAAAGGAGTTCTGTCTTCTGAAGAAATTATAACAATGTTGCAACTAAGGGAAGGCAGAGCCTTTTTAAAACCTGTGACTCTTGTCAACAAATTACTCTCTAAATGAAGAAAATGCAACTTCTTAAGTCCTAATTCACTTTTATACCTCACAAGTTTATTGCCAGTATTCCACAATCAAAGAAAGCATTCACAAGAGAAATGGAAAAAAAAAATTGTGTGTATGGGTATATGTGTATATATAAATATACATATATATATTATATATATATAAAATATCCCACTATGTGTGTATATATACACATTTACATAATCCACTGTGAAGGTGTGTGTTTGTGTGTGTGTGTGTATCCTAGTTAACATAATTAAATTGACTAGCATTTGCAACTCTCCACATCAGTCCATCAGTCCCATCCATTATAGGGAAGATGCTTCATTGCCTTTAGTATTTCTTGAACACAAAATATTTTACAGGTTGCTAGAGATCAAGGGGAACAAATCTAGAGTAAAAGTTTTGTTTTGAAAAATACAATAAAATGTAGGTTTACTTGCCTTTTGCCATACTATACTGATACAAATTCATGTATTTTAACATTTGTAATTTTACTAATAACTTTTGTATTGCCACTTTTTGAGATAAAAAATAGTAAAATATCAGCAATCTGATGACTCAACCTAATAAAGAGATACAGCCTCAAAAGGCAATGCCAGATGCCAAGGGGTAAGGAGAAAACCACTAATGATATTTTACATAATTTTTACGTGATCGCAAGATCTAAGACTTCTAACTAACACTTCCAAGTAGAAGTACTAAACTCTCATGAGTATAGTACCCTGTTTTTAATAAAAGGCTTTACACAGAAACTCTCATCTCATTGGAAGTTTGCAGCAACCAGGAGCCACTGGGAAAGGCCTTCTATTCTTGCGCCTGTTTTACCAATTAATAAATGAGGTTCTAGAGAGGCTCAGTGACTCAGGCAAGATGACACAGTTTATCAAGACCAAGCATGGTACTTTAAGAATAAAATCATCTGGCTTCACATCCACTGCCCTTTCACCTATCGCTCCTTGTCTCTGACCCAAGGAAATGACCAGGTCCAATAAATACCGGGATTTATATATAAATACAAGTTAGAGATGCAAGAGTGTACAAAACTGGTCAGTCCCTTTACTGCATGTTTACAAAACAATGGCAATAATCACACTGTATAAAACAGTCAATATTATTGGGACTCAGCTTTTTATAGAAGCAATCTTGCATGGTGGATAAAGGAGATGCTTATAGATAAACAACTAGGTTTGAATCTGCCATGATCGTCAGCTACACCTTTTGTTTTGTTTTTTAGCTCTTTTCACCTGTGACCCTCTTCTGTGCCACTTCCTATTAAATAGATTTTTAAAAAGATAAAGCCAAACAGCTGCTGAGAAACTAAATAAGACATATGAGTACCTGGCACACAGCAGCTATTCAATAAAAATGGAGTTCCCTTCCCATCATTGCTAATAATTTATTAGGTTAATAGTGTAAAATGCCACTGAAAATTGCTTGAGCTGTAATCTGAGAGTCAGAGGACCAAAAAAGAAATCATACAAATAAACGGAAAAGAGTACCTCTCCCAATTTACCTGCTATCGCTCCCACAAAAAACTGGGCATCGTGCATCGTGTCAGTACAAATGTAGTGAGCATCTATCAACACACACCCACTGACTACTTACTACCATAAGTAACCTACACTTTAAACAATGGGGCAATTCCTTCCAGACCAGAACAGTGGGCCTGACAATTATGGAGCCTGGAGTTCTGGGTTAGGGGCTGTGAGAGCCACAGGCGGCGGCCATTACAAAAAAATTGGTGGGAGAAAGACATGAGGATTATTACTTGTGTGATTCACACATTTGGTGGGTGGATAAACAAATAACCTTAAAAAAAAATCTCAAGAAAACAAAGTGAAATATATGTGTTCTGTGTAAGTGACAAAGATGAACTTGGGAAGTTTTGTATATTTTTAAATTTAATTATTCTTCATAAAATCTGGTGTCCTTTTTTGATATTTATAGACAGTTCAGTATAATACATATATTTAATAGCTTAAAAGCTGAAATATTAAAACATGCAAACTAACAACAACAACAAAATCTCTTATTAGGAAATATAGCTAAATATATTTTAGTTGAGAATTCTGAAATTTTTGGTCTCAGGATCTTTTTACTCTTAAAAAAGTACTAAGGACCTCAAGGAGCTTTTTTTTGTGTACACCTATCCATATTTATTATATTAGAAATCAAAATTATAACAGTTATAAAACCTTTAAATAGCATATGTTAACATAAGTAACATTTTTATAAAAAAATGTTTTCAAAAAAATTTATGTCAAGAAGTGGCATTATTCTACATTTTTGCAAATCTCCTTAACATCTGGCCTAGAGAAGACAGCTGGGTTCTCATATCCACTTCCATGTCCAATCTCTTCCAAAACGTTTAGGTTAAAAGTATGTTGAAGAAACACCAATCTCATACAGATAAATAATGGCCTTCTGCATTTTCTTATTTGATAGCACAAAACGCAACAGGTGGTTTTTTAAAGCATGACTGTAATTTTGGATCTAAAACCATATCAATGAATATTTTATACGTGATAACATTGAAATGTTTTGGTCTGTTTTGTCCTTTAAGTGGATGTTTTACTTATGCTCAATTTTATAACATCATGCATTGGTCATGCAGAGAAAATACATTCATGCAGAAATTTATAACTATAAACACTTTTCATTCTACAGTACCAAAAAATCATACTAATATTGCCCCTCCTCTCAGTGTCAATACCAGAAAGCTACAAAACTCACAACAGCAGACAGAAGCTTTCCAAAATTCTGCTTTCAGATTGAAAGCTCGAATTTTGTCATTGTCAAAAATTGTCTCTCAGTTCAGTTTTGAGAAAATGTTTGCCCAACACCCAAGTCAAATTATTATACTTTATCATTCTATTAAGTAAAAACGGTGTTCCATGAAAAATGCATCTAATTCAGCTTATAACTCAATTACGCAAGTGTTCATTCCTCTAGCCAATCACCTTAAGTAGCAAATGTACTTTTTACATAATTACTATTTTGGCATACAAAATATTAAAAAGACACAAATCTCATGGTTGAGATTTAATAAAATAATTAGTATTCCTTTATTAAGCAATTGGTAACTCTGGTTTTTCTTTTTATTGTTTAAGATCATACATCAGTAAGGTATAAAATGCGATGAACAGTTGAGTGCACTGCCTTGATTTGTGCTAAGACACCTGAACATTTTACACATCATGGCTTTTGCACCATCAATGCAAATTTCAACACAATAAAAATGGCAAACAACATCTCAGTACTCATAAAGATGGATTTGATTTCATAGTGTCCCTGAAAGGGTGTCAAGGGCCCCTATGGTTCTGCAGACCACACTTTAAAATCCACTGTTCTAGACATTAGGACAGAAAAGTTTTAAGATAAAAAAAACATGAGTGAGAAAAGGAGAAAATTATAATTTTATCATTAAAATTGGTAAATTTTGCTTCTTGAAATATAACTGTAAAAGTAAAAAAGACAAGTCACAATCTAGAAACCCTATTTACAGTAGAGACACCAAATAAAATATCAATGATATTCAAAGAAGTACTACAAACAATAAGAGCATAAACAACCCAACAGAAAAATAAGCAGAAAACATGACTAGACATTTCATAGAAATAGTCAGTGACCATATGAAGAGATGCCCATATCATTTGAGATCACTGTACAAATGAAGAACACAATGTAGTAACATTTCATAAGCAAAAACTTTTAAATCTCAAAAGATAAAATGTCAGAGAGGATTGATTCCCACAGGATCACTACACATCATTAGTAGGAATATAAACTACTGTAACTTCTTTGGAAAACAGCTTGGCCGCGAGGCCCAGCACTTTGGGAGGCCAAGATGGGTGGATCACCTGAGGTCAGGAATTCGAGACAAGCCTGGCCAACAGGGTGAAACCTATCTGTACTAAAAATACAAAATATTAGCCGAGCATGGTGGCTGGCACC